TGCTGGAAACAGGTTTTAAAAAGGAAAGATCAATTAATATATGCATTTGGTACTTGTTTTGGTTTGTGTTTCTCTGAGAAGGATAACAATTTACTAGCCCAAGATGAAGAAATTGTTTTGATTAATATTTTCACATGATGGAAGTTGTATTTTTCTGAGTTCTTGTTGCAGATAAAAACAATGTAAAATGTAAACAGATTGTCTTTAGTGACTTTTGATTAAAGAAGTAACTAAGGATGTAGTTAATACTAATGAATCATGGTCATTCCCAAGAAAAGGGTAAAATGATGCTAATGAAATTTCAAAAATTAAGCTTTTACCATCTCTACAGGTTAATTAAGATTTTTGTTACAATTATTATAGCTGAAATTTTTGCAGAGTGTTTTTCACATATTATCTCATTTGATCCTGTTGGCAGCCTTATGAAGTAGGTGGAGACATTATATCCCCATGTTATATGAGAAAGTACACCCAATAATATAATAATCTTTGACAGTATTACTACTTTGAACTCTGAGATGTTTAATTCCTTCTCTTAGTGATGCCGTGACCAGAATACTAGACCTGGAATCAAGGTTACGTGAGTTGAGATCTCACCTTTGACATTTATTTGCTTTGTAACAACGAGCATATACCTTCATTTCTCTATGTGTTTCCTCATCTATATAATAAGGATAATAATAAGTCGTATGTAAATGCTAGCTAGTATTATTCCTTCCCCTTCTATGAAAATGATTCTGAGAAAAACTTGGCAGTAATGAATGATTTTAATGTTGATTTTAATTTCACAACTAATAGAAAAAATTGTTTGCTATTTTTAATTGAGTAAGGATGGCTGGTGATCTGTGTACATGCCGAAGAAGTAGAAATAGTGCTACTGGCTATGAAATGTATTTTGGTTTTCATCAGGTTGACCTCATTCCATTGTAAGAAGCCTTAATCGGTAAGAGAGATACAGATTTATTGTTGGGATATTATTATTGAGATATTATCATGTTAGATTATGATTGCTATAACTTTCATGAAAAAAAAAATACATACTTAGTTTTCCAAAAGATGCTCTCCAGCAGTAGGAGGGTTAATGAACATCAAGGCCATAGATTGAGATAGTTACTATATGGTAACTCTTGGCTGTTGTTCCTTCCTAAGTATTTTTATTTGTATTTTATATTTCTGTTAAGTCAAAAAGGATCCAGGGACAATTATTCAAACTTAAAATTGGGAATATTGCTGGACAATTCAACTATGTAGTGAATAATCATGTTACCTCTTTCTCACTAAATAAGTTATATATGAAGAGAGAGTTGTGTGCATGCATGTGTATACAGACATTTATGTATGTAAAAGGTTCAAAATAAACTGCTAAAGGTAAAAAAACCTTTGCTTCTAGAAATCATTTAGAAGAAATTTTATACAGATATAATTTTTTAGCGCTTAAGCAAACACACATTCTTTAAGAAATGTTGGAAATACAAATGTTGTCACTTGTCTTTTTGGGCCTCAAGTTTTTTCATCTGTGTAACACGATGGGGTTAAACTAGATAGCCCAGGGATGGGGAACCTGCAGCCTTGAGGTCACATGTGACCCTCTAGGTCCTCAAGTGCTGCTCGTTGACTGAATCCTAACTTCATAGAACAAATCCCCTTAATAAAAGGATTTGTTCTGTAAAACTTGGACTCAGTCAAGAGGCTGCACACGTAGCCTCGAGGCCACAGGTTCCCTACCTTTGAGATAGCCTAGATCCCTTCCAGCTTGAAATCGGTGTTCCTATAAGATGTAAATAGATTTGCTTCCATGTGTCAAGCATCAGTGATTTCATTATAATTGATATTCCCTTCATCAACACACATCCTAAGCCCTTTAGAAGTTAGTGTAGGACATTCTTCATGAATTCATTGAGAAATTTTATACCCTATAGCTCATCTGGTGTTGAAGCTATCCAGACTTAGCAAGGAAATGACAAGCCTACAGTCAGGGGTATGCTAGTAAATGTTAGACAGTTGGCTCTCTGGGGAAAAAAAAAGTGTGTGTGTGTGTGTTTATGTCATGTATATGTTTATTATAAATTTTATTGATGTAAAAAAGCTATAGTACAAAGAGTAAAATACACAGTGTTCTTTATTGTGAATTCCATATGAGCAATTGATTCTCAAAATTTGTTAATTTTTTTTTTCTGAGCTCTTGTATCTAAAGCTAATCTGTGGTTGTAATTCACCCATGATTTGTCAAATGGAGTTGCATTTCAGTCTACTCTTTCCCCAATAAATTTATTGTCGCTAAATCTGCCACATGACATACTATGAAACTATTTCTCAGCCTCATACAAATTATGTTCATTAAACTGAAATCTCTATCCGTTTCAGCCCCGCAGACTATGGTTGTATTGGCTGTTTAAGTCTTTTGTTCATTTTACCTTGTGTAAAAGCTCCTATCCCTTATTTGGTTAGGAACTATTTCCCTGTCCATAGGTCTGAAAGATAATTTCTTCCTTGAGCCCCTAATTTATCATGTTGCCTTTGATGTCCAAATCATGTGTCAATTTCTGTATTATTTTGTTATATTGTGTGAGGTGTTGGTCTGTTTCAACCAAACTACTTGCCGATTTTGTTTGTTTGTTCGAATAGTGAGCCCTTATTCCAGTAGCTGGAGTCTTTGGGTTTATTGAACATTATGCTACTATGACTTTTTTTCCCCTCTTTGAGAGTACCTGATCTGTTCCACTGACTGATCTCTATTTTTTTTTTTAAGCAGTACCAAATCATTTGATGATTACTGCTTTGCTAGTATAATTTGAAATCTTGTGCTGGGAGGCTCAGAATAGAATTCTTAGTGAATAGTAGGGAGGGTCCTCTTCCGAATAATGGAAGGGGAAGTGGTAGTTTAGGGGAGCTTGGAGAAAGAAGAAAAGGTTTTGTGACTAGCCACTATGTGGGATGTGAGAGTGTCTTTGAAGGAAGAATAAATGGACTACAGTGTTTCAGTAAAGGCTCACCTGAGATTAAATGGCAAATTTGTAGTGTACCTAGTACCCTTAGGTGACTGTCTATTAGTGTGAGACTCAGAGAGAGTATATAATAGTAATAATAATTAATAATAACTAGCATTTATGTAGTGGTTTATGGTTTATAAAGTGCTTTTTAAGATGTTACCTCATTTTATCTTCACAACCACCTTGGGAGGTAGGTGTTATTAATATCCAGATTTTACAGATGAGGAGACTGCTGCTCCACTTCTTAGAAACCCTGGTTGCCTCCAGGATTTGTCTTATGTGCTGTGTTTTTTAAAATCTGATTATCTTTGCACATGTTGATTTTCCCCAATAAATGCTTTTGAATTCAATCCAATTTAAATTAAAAATAAGTAAATAATTATAGTTTTATTCCTTGTAATGAAAGGTTTATGTCATTTCTGTTTAGTTTGTACATATTTGAGTCAGAACTGTAGTGATAAGATTTTCATTCTTTGTATTCATTTAAGTCTTCTAATTCTTTATCATTTGCTTCTCATAGACTTTATAGCTGGAAGGGGCCTAAGAGGTCATTTATTTGAATTTCCTTTTTTTTTTTTTTTTTTAAAATAGATGAGTAAACAATCTGAGAGAGGGGCAGCAACTTGCCCCAAATCACAGCTTAGAAATAAGCAACAGAGCATAAGTTGGAAACTCAAGTCTTGTGACTAAAATTTAGGCATCTCCTTTTTACTGAGGAAAGTATTTTGAAATTTTTAATGCACTACATAAATAAGTGCCAGCATTATAACTTTACTTTTGACGTTGGAGGCTCACACAAGAATATTAAGTGATGCCCCAAAGCAACCCAAGTCTTGTCCAAATCTAGTGCAAGAAAATTAGGATTGTCTTTCAAAAAATAATCATTGCCTTTAACATTAATGAAACTGGCATTCATTAATATAAACCTTAAAGACATTGTACAGTGGTAGAAAGAATAGAGAATATGAGTAAAAAGGCCTGAGTTTGAGTCCTAGTCCTCCCACTAATGAGCTGGGTAGTCTTAGGCAAATCGATTAATAGCTGTATCTTTTAGTATCTAACACAGAATGTTGCATGTAGGTGCGTGCTAGACTAATATTTACTAACCATCAACTATATATATTTTGGATAACTGAATTGGAATTAGTAAGATCTAGTATTCACTTCTGGCTTGGTATAACTGTTCTTATTGGTTCACTTTTTTTTTTTTTAACAGAATGGGAGAGATAGTATTTAATCTGGTCTAGTTCATGAGTTGTTGGCAAAAGATTGACAGTAAACTATTTTGACTTCTGGGGTACATGTGTTATTTTTATGCAGATTTTCTGTCCTGTTCTTAACTGTGCTTTGAAGATGTAGGTTTTTGCGTGTTTTAAGTAACACATAGTTTCCAACACTCAACCTATGAAGATAAAATATTAGTCAGAAATAATGCAAATTCCAGTGATAACACAGTAAATCTTGGCTTAGTGTGTTTGTTGCTTAAATTATACTTGCAAGACCCATGCTTTTGTAATTTTTGTTTTGGATAGCATGTTTGAAAAACTTAACATGATGATGAAGAAAAATAAAGGAAATATGTGATTTATTATAAAGATTTGGCAAGTAGAGCTTATCAGATTGCTTAATCTGTGTGTGTGTGTGTGTGTGTATGTATATGCATATACACATGCTGTTATAATTAAATAATTTGGAATGTTTTGTTCACTTTCACCAGGGCTTGTCCTTTTCATGAGTTTACCATTGCAAATTTCTGTTTCCTACTTATCACTTAATGATAATCATTTATAATTTAACTTGATACGTTACATTTGTTTAATTTAGTGCTAGCAGTTCTTTTCTTTACTTAAAAACATAGCCCCTTTGAGTTGAAGATAAATTCATTTCCACATCAAGATTATTTTTGATTTTTTTCTTTTCTATTCTGATGATCAGTGTGTTGTATTTATGAAGAAACTATGAAATGTATTCATTTCATGTAATGTATATAAATTATGTTCCTCTTTCCAGAAATTCCTGACATTGTGAATACAAAACATCTGAGAACTTTCAGGTGAGTCTACCTGTCATTAATGTGACTTTTTCCTCCAGCACATAATTAAGAAGAATCTGATTTCCTTGAAAAGAGACTTTATACAAAAAGAAAGGCTTCACTATCAGACTTCACCATCCCTTTTAAGGAGGAAAGTGTTAAGTAGAAAATTATTTAAGCATCTTCTAGAGGTCATTTTGCTTTCTAAACTATAACATTGAAACTACCTCATGGATTATTTCAAGGTGGTTGACTGGCAGCTCTTGATTTCAAAGTTCTGTATTTTCCAGATAGAACCTTCTATCACTTTCCCTTCTCATTCTCCATTTTATAAAAAGGAGACAATTATAGTTTATATTTACACATCACTTTTTGAGTTTACAAAGCATTATGTAAATGTGAGTTTTATTTTTATCTCACCTTTATAAATTGGGACAGAATTGGTAAATTGCTTAAATTCAAATTCCCAAAACTTTTGAGCATCATCTTTATCATAGTCCTCTTCATAACATCTCTTCATGATTTTAGTGTTATCAATGAATAAATGGCTGTACTAGGGAAAATAGTCCTAAGTGATTGATTGGTATAGTAGATTCATAAATCATTTATTAGAAACTATTCAAAGGGTTTAATTTTTTTTTTTTAAAGAAATTCATATACTTCAGTTCAAGCTTTTTGAAAATGAATTAAATTGTTGTAAGAAATACAGTGGAAGAAAGCTCCATTCATTGTCTTATCTCTGGCATATCTTCAGAATACATGCTATTATTTTATTATTAAAGATCAATAGGTCTGAATTTTCAAGTAAGGCATAAATTAATGCTATTTAATGACACCCTGCCACCCCATGCTCCTCACACATAACTAACTGAATTTCCTGGTATCAGAGCTGTCTTGTATCATTTTTATCTGCTAGATTAATAACAATTTAAAATAATTCCTGTGATCAAAGGATCATAGATCTATGGCTGGAAAGGGCTGCAGAGGCTGTGTCACTTGGCTACATTCTCTCAGCTAGTGAGGTGGCGTTTACATGTTATCTGATTCCAGATATTCTCCTATTTCACTTTTGGAAAGCTCTGATTGTCAGGAGGTTGATCTGTATATCTAGCTGACATCTCTCTTCATCTTCTATCTTCTACTTCTAGTTTCCCCCCTCCTGCAATCAAGCAGAACATGACACATTCTCATTTCTTTTGATAACCTTTCAAATACTTAGAATCATAGATTTAGAGATGAAAAGAAACTTTCTTGGATGGTTCTTTTATTTAATTTGTGTGGATTCTTTCTCCTCTGTCATAAATAACAACTGTCCCATGCCTAGGATGAGAGTTTTTGTAAATTACTACGGTTCATGTATTCCTCACCCCAGAAATGATCTTCTCTGTTTGGTTGGTCCTTGGACATTAGGCATATCTTATGTCACTGTGCCCATACTCAAATCCTTTCTAGTTTTGTAGAACCTGCGAGAGCTGTGGACTACTGGCAAAGCCTTCAGAAGCCTCAGACAAGATTGCCTTCATACTTTGAGGAAGAAATAGCAGTAGGTCCGAAGCGAATTCAGTTTCAGATGCTCAAATGCATCTGTGGACTCACTGGTTTGGATATAAAATCTTCCAGGGATATAGAGTGTAAACTATCCATTAGTGGCCCATTCTATGCTGCTCTTTTCTATATCTTCTCATAACTTTCACATAGGGTCCACCTAATACATTGGAGTCCTTCTCTTTATCTTGATATCACAAGGATAGCCATTCCTCAGTCATATAACATCACTAGTAGAGTATTAGAATTAAAAAGAGGAGTTTTTGTTTCCAGGACAATCTTGAGGTCATTAAAGTAGCTTTGTGATTTCCTAAAGGCAGTAGAGCTGTCTCCTTCTTGGAGGCCTAACTCATTCATTTGTACTGTCACTGATGGACATGTTCTCTATGAGGTGTGTAACTTTGTATTGTATTCTAAGTAACAGACATTTTTAATCTGTTTGTCTCTCTTGTGTGAGTGGTCAGGCCAGACTCTTTTGAGAGCCAGGGCTATACTGGTTCAGAATAAAAACTTATTTGTAAAATGCCACAGACAAGGGTGAGGAAAGATTGCAAGCAATATCCCTTTATAAAAAAAAAAAAAAAGCTAAAAGTCAGGGGCAGAGCCAAGATGGTAGAGAGAAGGCAAGGATTCCCCTGAGTTCTCCCCCAAACTCCTCCAAAGGCCTTTAAATAATGCCCTAAAACAAATCCTGGAGTGGCACAAACCTCTTCCAAGAGGCTCTTCAGGGGTTTGGGCTTTCATGTAACCATCACTGCTGAGCTTGGATTCTGCAATGAATCTTCTCCATCACAGTGGCAATTACCATTGGCAAGCATACATTCACAATGTTTTATGTCTCACCTGAAGTTAATGATCAGCAAGGTTGTTGAACAGGGTTATTTCTGTATGTATGTTATATATTTCTGTATGTATGTTATATGTTTCTGTTATATGCTTCAAATCATTTTCATATTTGGATAGGAGGTACCATATTTGAGAACAGTCTTTACAGAAGTGGTATGTTCTACCGAATTAAATGCTTTTCATAATAAAGATATGGTAAATACATTGGGATATTACTTTTGCTTCATTTTTTAGATGCCTAACAAAAAACATGTGGTCCATTGTAGAGTATCTATTGTGGGAATCTGCCTGTTCTTGCTCCTAATTCCATGGGTCTCAGTGTGTGTTTTAGTAAATCTCAACTATTATGTATAGATAGAAAAATCAGCATATAGGTCTTGAGGAAGTTAGTGATGTTTTTTGTTGGTTACTTTATGTTTTATCATTAAGGTCTGAGATTTATTCCGTACTTTTGGTATCTTTCCCTCCTTTAGATACATTGTGAATTAATCCCACAGTATTCTCACAGTTGTCACCTCCAGCACAGATCACCTATATTTACCCTTGGTCCAATCCAGTTGCTTTTCCTGCCTCTCTTTATTCTCTTTAGTACCGAGAGGAGGTGATTCTAATGTCCTTGATGTTGAAAACAATGTATTATTTAAAATCTCCATTTTTATTCTGTTTGTTGTACTCCTTCCATTTTCATCTTTAAATATCCTTGGGTTAACCTTGCTTACTTGCATTTCTTGCCAGACTTTCTTTAAACTGGCTTTATTTGCCATTGCATCTTTGTTTTATGGGGTGTACTGATCAAAATTATTCGTCATTCATCTTCATAAGATTTTACAAATGATTTTGTTTCCTAAATGGATGTTGGTTTTGGCTGTCATCTCCTTTGGTTTGTAAAGTAAATGAAGTGCTTGTTGATGAAGAGGCTTTTTTGGGTTCCGTGATGTGACGATTGATTTGTAGTGGTTAACTGTGGAAAATTGCTAAAGATTGGTGTTGATGCCATTTCCATTGTCCATTACCCATTTTTAATTATCAGTTGCTTTTTTATTTTTAAAATAATTTAATATGTTAATGTCAACATTCAGATCCATTGACTTCTCAATTATTTTAAATTTAAAGAAGCAATCCTTACAAAGTGGAAGAATGGTCCACAGACCAGGAGAACTCTTTACAGATCCATATCACCATGGTGTATCAGCTATTAAGGCAGAGGGCACAAAAATGAAAGCTTTATCTTGTAAGAACCCATACAGAGCTCCCAGTTAAAGGAAATCTGACAGAAATGGTATTCACTCCTTTTTTAAATAATCAGCAACAACTCATTCTATGCCATCTACCATTTAAACTCTCCTTTTTTGTTAATAATCTTTGGTCCCACATTGTTCCCATTTTCTTTGTGGTGTTTTGTATTGGCCCCATTGCAGAAAGGAACTTCAATTGTGGCAATATAGGGCTTTCCCTCCCAAGTCTTCTGTATCAAGTGCAGGTAGGCTGTCTTTCTTTGTGGTAAGATAGACCATGACCTCACCATGTTTTTCTTTATCAGTAAACTTTTTGTAACCTAGGTACCCTACCACCAGCAGTCCTGGCACCCAGCTTGATACAGAAACAGTGCGTTTTAAACTTTGAGGTTAGAATTTAAACCCATGGTGCTGGCATTATTTAGGGGGTATTGTGCTCCCAGGGAGCTACAGGCTCTTCTGCTCATGAGGTAACCTGAGGAGGTAACTGTTACATTTTGTTTCTCCAGAATTTTTAAAAGTGTATTTATTTTTATTCTGAACTTAAACATCAAACAAAATGGACATTCCTGTATACATAGTAGAGCAGAAAAAGAGGGTTGTACATGAAAGTAATGATCTCACATCTCTATTACTTTTGAAATAGTTCAGGATTGAGTTATTTCAATTGCTTTTTCACCTTAGGAATCTTTCTTTTAGCCTTTCACTAATTCTGATCTTTCCACAAGTTTGTGGTCTGACTATACATAAAAGCTGATTAAGGAGTGACTCCTGCCTCAGTTGAATCTTTTTTCAGTCTATTAACATATATTAAAAGAAGAAGAAAACACCACACAAATCATTGGCATTTCTGTGTACTACCAACAAAGCCCAGCAGCAAGAGATAGAAAGAGAAATTCCATTTAAAATAACTGTAGATGGGGCAGTTAGGTGGTGCAGTGGAGAGAGCACCGGCCCCTGAGTCAGGAGGGCCTGAGTTCAAATCTGGCCTCAGGCACATAACACTTACTAGCTGTATGACCCTGGGCAAGTCACTTAACCCCATTGCCTAACAAAAAGCAAATAAAATAAAATAAAGTAACTGTAGACAATATAAAATATTTTAGAGTCTACTTGCCAGGACAAATCCAGGAACTATATGAACACAATTACAAAACACTTTTGACACAAATAAAGCCAGATCTAAATAATTGGAAAAATACCAGTTGTTCATGGGTAGGCTGAGCTAATATAATAAAAATGGTAATTTTTTCTAAATTAATTTATTCAGTGCTATACCAATCAAATACCAAAAATTATTTAATAAAGCTAGAAAAAATAATAGCAGAATTCATCTGGAAGAACAAAAGGTCAAGAATATCAGGGGAATTAATGAAAAAATGCAAAGGAAGGTGG